TGCTTTGACAAGTTCTCCTGAGATGGGCCCAGAAGAACACTGGGTACACCGCTCCCCGTGCCAAGACGCAGTTCGGACACATGAAATTCATGGCATTCAATGCCATGTCCGTTGCGATCTTGAACGGAGAAAGACTAGACATTGACGAACCACTCGTGCCGGCCTCTCGTGGAGCTGGACGTGGGCGTGGCCGCGGGCGAGGACGAGGTCCCGCACCGAGCCGACGCCCACCGGCATGGGCATTTGGTGGTTCCTATTCTCAGGGTCGCAGACCATAGACCGGGAGGTCAAACACTCCAGCCATGTGGCTGAGGAAGAGTTTTAATGAGGGTTGTGCAGACCGGGAGGTCATGTAAAAACAACCACTCTTTCTCTTCATCCTTCACTGTGTAGTGTTTCACAACTGGGCATGTGGCAAATCGCACAGCCAGTTCTATTCACATACACATAAAGTTTCTGCTCCCATATCCACATATTGGGACGAGGACGCCCCACCTCCCTGAGGGGGACGAATGTTACGCGCACCGGCCTGACGTGGGGGATGCCCTACTACTGGCCCTTGGTGTGGGGGACGCCCTGCCCAAGAACACTATCCTCAACCCAGGGTAACCACTTTAGGTATTAGGATATGGGAATAGGAGGGGTGGTCCCGCCTAGGTCCCCGTAAGGACCTAGGTGCCCGGCGAGCGGGTCCGCGGCTCAAAGAGGGCAGGAACCCCACACCCACAGTCTTTTCGTATCACCCTCGCCAAGAGTTGATGTCATCGTCGAGCACAAGGTCGTTTTCTGCCCGCTCCAGGGTGTCTTGATGCCGCTCCCCGGACTCACCGAGTCATTAAGTACTGCCTTTATCTACACGCTGCCTATTCTTACCCATTTTACGGCTTTTTACGGGTAAAAAGCCATTCTGACGCATAAATAGCTGTAAATAATAGAAAGTGTTTAAGCCATAATCAACAAGCCTGCCTTAAAGTTAATGGCATTACCAATCAGGATAATTAAAATTGTTGCTTCACGAAACAATTTCGTGTACATTATTCAATAAACGTGTAGTGTCGGTCAGCTCGGGACATTCCATGCAAAAGCAAAGGTTCCTTTCAAAGCTGGGGCATGCGATAGCCAAGAAACCTAATTGACTGACTAGTGAAACAATGGTCCACATGTGGCTACGCGAACACGTGCTTGAATTCTTGGCACTGGCATGACGTACCATTAGCAAGATTTCGAGCAACCATACACTGCATATCTGTAGAATTTAATTCGGTTCTTCATCTGTTCGGAAATAAGGTGTCTCCTTTAAGCGAATTGCACAACACGAGAAAGAAGTCAACTGTCAAGTACATTGCCATATTCAGAAGAACTTGGAACCATTTTCTCACAACTGAATGATGTTATTCATCCCATTGTGTATTCCTCCAAATATGCCCCACTTCTGCCAAGACTCGGCGGTTCACGTTGCTCTCTGTGGCGAAAGCCAGTTGGTGCCATCATTTTTGTTGCATGGCACTGCCTGCGGCTTAGCAACTCTAATGCTTCAAGACTACCACCGCCACTGCGACATTGATTTCTAGTGGCGTTGTCAGCTCCACCCTCCTCACATTGTGGTGGCTGCAAGAAGGGGCCCTATTATGGGGCGCCATTCAGGGGGTGTTTAGCAAAACCTTGCGACTGTATAGTCGAATTCTCGACCTGAGTCGAGTGGGTGCAAATAATTGCTTTTCAAAGTTCCTTAGCCGTCCCGGCTCGAGATCCCGCTCGTCGCAATTGAATGCGCGCAGCGATAGGCCACAACGCAGCACAAGTCAAACCGACTTGGTTCGACCACTGTGGCAACCTTGGTGCACGCGGCGCTCAAACACACTCGCCGTGCATGGTGACCATGCCATGGTCGGACAAGCAGCCAAGATTCAACTTGTCTTACAACCAAACCAAGAGAAGCCACGAACAGTCTCGGGATCTCTTTAAATACCAGAATGCGCCTCTTCTTTTGCCCACCAGCACTCACACTCAAGTGTGAGCTCAGAGCGCCGGATTGAACTCACACTGCACACACACACACACACACAACAAGCTACCCCATACACTAGAGGTGGCCACCCGGATCCGTTAATAGCGGACAGAGGTTAATTTCCGTTAATTTTCCGTTAATTAATGGAAAATAACGAAAAAAGACAAAAAATAACCAAAAATTAGCAGATTTTTGAATTTTTTGGGGATTTTTGGGTTTTAGTCATACTTATAGTTTATGGAATTCGCTATTAGGGAGTATGTTTGTATTTTATTTCAACCTATGCATACTAGATTTTCAACTAGCCGCAGTTGTTGTGATTTTTTGGGTTTTTTTTCGTTTTTTCTGAATTTTTCTCCTTTTTTCTTTAACGAAATTTAACGGACAGCTGATAAAAATTAACGAACCGGATTTAACGGACTGGATGGCACCTTTGAGTGGCCACCTCTACCATACACCCGACACATGGCACCAACCCACAGTACCAACTCATGATCACCATAATTAGTAAGAGTGAAGCTGATTGTTGGCCAGCCGTTCTCCCGCCATCTCAGTCAGGTCAATGTATGCACCAGTCAGCCAGCACATAGACAGGTGCTTGCACAAAATGGCAGCTGCGGCTGTCTTGGTGTGTCAGACTTTCATCTCTTTGAACTGGCTTTTTAAGCTGTATTCACTTCTCTCATTGAGTTTCACTGCACATCAGTGTTCAGCCACCGACCTCCAATTCTGAGATCTGGAAAGTTGCATGTGAAATATTGAGAAAAGGTGACAGCCATTCAAACACATTGTTGATGGCATTCCTCGAAACGGGATTCTGACATGCCACCATTTGATCGTCGGATTACAAACCAGTAATTGGAGGAGGCAGGTCAGTGGTCAATTACTGGTAATTCGAATACTGCTATTTACTCTGCACTTTTGTATTCACTGTCGCAAAGAAAAGGGTTTCAGGAGTAAATAATAAATTTCTTAATACAAATGCCCCCTACCAAAATGCGTCGCAAAAGCCATACAAAGCGGCATCTAGTTTAGGACACAGGACGCACGCAGAAAAAACCTGTATAAGATTGTTTGACACTAGAGGCATATAAGGCGGCATTTAGTTCTGGAGAGGGGAAGCACGCAGAAGAAACCTGCGTAACATCGCTTGACACTAGAGACCCAAACTCCTGGGACGTCGCCCAATTCCCGCATCGCAGAGGGCTGCGACGTCGCATCCACGGAAATGAATGCACTTTCCTTAAGCAAGGAAACTGTGTCATCCAGTCACTCTGTTGCTAACTCAGCACTGGATTTCAAAGCGAGTCAACACCTTCGCTCTCATTTAGCATTGAGCAGCTGTCCATGGCAAGCAATGGCCGGTCCACGACTTGTTCACACAACCAGGCTCCGTGCCAGCCATGTGTGACCTTTTGAGATGAGCAATCAGCACGGGTAACCGCGAATCCAACATCTTTCAGGACCATTGCTGTTTGTTCCGTGCTGACTTTGTCTGTGAAAACCTGTGCCGTCCTTTTGGCCACCCCTTCCTCACACAATCAACCATCATAAAGGCAATTGATAATTTACACAAGTAGTACATTTGTTTGGCGTCGCGTCAGGGCTATGCCCCTTTCGCTGGTGAGGAATCGACTGTGGAAAACGAGCAATTGGTACCAAGATGCTGGCGATGAGTTGCAGTGTACACACGCAGCATCGCGACAAGCTGTAGAGCCTGGCTGTGTTCTGTAGGCGCTGTTTAAAGCGCTGCTGCTTTTTCTTTGGTTGGCTCGCTGAGTGCACGCGTGTTCAGGCTTGCCAAAATTACCACAATGCCATCTCAGCCACTGTGTCTTTAGGCAGTGAATATCACAATGCGGCAAGGCCAGAGGCATGTATGAAGGCCAAGCGTGCCCAGGACTGTTATTTACGCCGTAGAAACTGATCGTATTTGCGTTTTCACGCCTGAAAGTAGCTTTTACGTCTTTACACACAGCCCCGTGTACGTAAAGACAGAACATACAGACTTAGAGAAGTTCGGGGAGTGGAAGCCATACGCGTTGGAATGTGCAGAAATCAAACTTTTGTTCGACGACATCGTTGCCCTTGGCGAGGGCGACGTGGACTCTATGTTGCTTATGCTTTAGGAGGCGGACGCCTGACCATTGAACGCGACTTTCATCGTGTACCCTGGTGTCCGCAAAAACTTAAACACAGCCTTAAACAGCCCCTTTTGCAAATTTACGTGTAAAAATGTAAACGCAGAAACGTAAAAGCAGTCGTAAACGTAAATAGCAAGCCTGAACGTGCCAATCACGGCGACAACTGACTGTCGACGTACTGGCAGGTCTTGATCGGCTTGCCATCGTTCCCTGCAATCATCGCTTGGAAAACCAAGGCAACCTCCAGGAAACAACACACCTCCCATCCACTCTCCCAGCTTGTGATTTTACAGCAAAATACTACAAATTTGTTCAAGCACAATGCCAATATATTGACCATCTGATCGATGACAGACACCTATGGCTATGAGTATGAATCGATAAAGTCAGTTGCACTACTACAACCTCATGGTCCACCAGGTGAGCGTATGCTAGCGCAAAAAAACGCCTTTCATTCACCGACAACAAATTGAGGGACACTGTACACTTCAAAACTGTTTCTAGTCCACGTCGACGGACAGAATACAAATTTGCGCAATTAGATGGCAACGACAACCGCCGCCTCGCTGGGGACAAGCACAACCCTAATCTGAATGGCAGTGCCAACATCTTGAGTCTTCCATGGCGCATCACCCCGACTCTGTTGATTTGGGGATGGCTGGGCGGACGGACGGGGAGGCGGTTCAGCATCACCGCCGGCTGCGTCGGTGACGCACTGTTGGGACACGCCAAAACGTCACACACGCCACTCCAACCTTTCGAACGCCCGCCACAACATCGGCCTCACAGCCGCGCCCCGCATGCCCACCCTTTCGACACCGTCTTTTCCCCGCTGCCGTTCCGCGCCCCTACACCGCGGCCGCCTCGGCCGCGGGGAGCTGCCTCCACTGCTGCTCCGACAGGCCCGTGCAAGGGTAAGTGACCACAACGAAGTCAACGCAGGTCGTGCATTGGGTCAGGCAGTCACCGTTGACCTCGGACATGAACCGGCCATCGTAGGACACCCAGCTCTGCGCCGGGCTGTCGTCCTCCTCGCACGGCACCACGATCACCTCCGCCATCTGCCGCTGCCGGTAGTCGTGGCAGTCGTCCCCCTGGCACACGGTCAGGCAGTAGCTGTTGACCGTGGATTTGACCCTGGCGCCGGGGCCCCCCAGGAACCAGCACTGCTCGTTAGCGAAGGCCTGGCACTCGCTGACGGTGGTCTTCTTGCTGGTGCCGTCTGAGCCGGGGTTGTAGGACAGGCACTGGCCGTTGGCGGCGGAGTGGAGGGTGAAGACGTCATACACGGGGTAAACATGGCTGTGGGTGGTGTTGGTGGGGGTGTGAGTGGTGTTGAAGTGGCCTGGGGGTAGGCGGGCTTGGGAGGGTGGGATTGGGGCCAGTGCTGCCAGCAGGAGCGACGCCGTCGCGAAGAGGCTGGCCATCTGGATCGCACCCAACACAAGGGTTCAAGGATTCAGAGGTTCAGAGATTTAGGCCACTGGATCCAGGGGCAGTACCGGCGGCAAGGGTGCGGATGGGTTGTGCCCGGATGGCAGGCATCGAAGCCTTGAAGTTGGTGAGGGTGTGATGGCAGCGGCCTGAGGCACTGCCCCACAGCGGCAGCTCGTCGATCGCTGAAATTGCGCGACAGAATGCGGCAATGACTGCCAGCAAAGTTGCGCGGGGAGCCGATAGTAGCGTGGCATTGCTGCATGGGATGGGCGGGAAAAGGACGTCTGCACTTGGAGGGGGAAACATCGTCTCCTGGGCTGCCCATGGGACGCGGTGAGACGCAATTAAAGAGCTTGCGGGAGCGGCGCCTGCCGCTCCACGACTGCTCCTGGCTGGGCGAGCCGCAAAGGATGCCAGGGCATGCCCATGTCATGGACAGCGGACAGCGACGGGCACAAGGCCTTATAGAACAGCCCCAGTTGCTGGCGGCGGTGCCTTTCGCGCAAAATCGGTACCGAGTAACCCCCCCCTCCCCACACACATACACGCCGCGGTCGCTCTCCCGCCGCGCTTTCCCACAGGCGCTCCGGGGAATGTGGCCCACCGGCAGTTGGCGCCAGGGCATGGCGAGATGGAGTTCCCACCTCCCTCTGCTGCTGTCTGGCTTGCTGGTCAGATGTTTCGAAGGAGATGCGCCTGAGCGTGCAGCGGCCGCAGGAGACGGCAGCACGCCGGCACAGGCGCTGCCGGGGTGGCGCCGTCGGTGCCGGAAAGCGGGCGGGGGGCCAGCCTAGGAAGTGTTCTGGGAGCAACAGTGTGCAGCCATGGGCCCTTCCCTATCGTCAACCGCAAAATGGATAGGACCTAAATGCCCCTAGGGCACAGGGCGGGCGGGTTTGATTGAATGCGTGGCTGAATTGTGGCACTGCGAGGTCTCTTCGTCCCCGAAACTCGGATTAGAGTCACGACCGGGCCTGGGTTTTTGGTGCACAGAACGAGAAACAGGTCACACGCTTTTAAGTTTGGTCACACAAATTTGTGTGCCTTTTAAAAGGCCAGCCCCCGTACACTGTTGTGAAAAGATGATGCAGAGTCTCCAGTGCAAGCAGGGGAGAGCACAACGCAAGCGCCACGAAGACCAAGAACCCTGGCCGGGGTTGTACTGGGCGAGGGAGAAATATTACTCGATGGGGGAGGATGCATTGCAGATCTTGACCGGGTGGATTTGAATTGATCAATTGTTTGCTCTGGATTTCCATTGTTCGAGTCTCGCTGTGTGTCTTAAGTTTGTAGCCGCACTGAACAGGGTGATGACTTCGTGTCATTGTGGCAGAGCGTGGCCGCCAAACTGAGGCTAAGGAAATTAGCATGGTCAGTAGGCCTCTGTAAATGGGACATTTGCAAGCAATGTTTGAATCGTTGTAAACCGAATTATATGGGAATTCAAATCTACAATACGGTGGCAGACTTCCAGCCATCTGGAGAAAAGGTAGACATACATGCAACATGGCGATCTCAGCGTCACTGATGCAATGCCGAATAATGCTGCAGCAGTGCCAATGCATGAACGTTGACACAACTTTGACACACACACACACACACACACACACACACGCACACGCACACACATCAACGCTTATAAATATTGAAAAATGGGCATCGCTGAGGCGCTTATCCTCACTGAATCCATAGCAATGTAGCCGCAATATTTCATCAATTTCCACTCTTAATTTACATGGCCTTGTGCATTCTAGGCAACGGTACCGTTGGCTACAACCGGTTAGCCCACAGTATACTGTCTACTCTCCCATTCACACACATGTAACACGTTGCTTCTCTGAAGGTGGGCTTCGTTTCAACAGTTTTGTCGACATAAAAATGAATGGATTTATGAATGGATAAAATGAATGGAACATTAATGATCCATGGACCGAGAAGAGACTAAACAAATAGTGAATTGGACATGCCAATTCATGTGAGTAGGCTGTCATCATCATACGATCCAAGCGTGGCCGCAAGCTCTGCGATAAGAAGATATTTTGACGACATGCAAGAAGTTTCTTGATCAATACGGTGAATACAACGTCATCAGCAAATTAAAATAAATGGCTTGTTTCGCGAATTTCGTTTTCCAACAATCAGCGCCAGCTCGGGTCCCTCCCCCCTGCCGCTTCCTGCGCAAATCTTCCCGCCATTCCGTTTTGTACTTGTGGACTCGGCAGGCGATGTGGACTCGGCCACCTCAAGGCATGAAATTCCCTATTTTGTTTTCTGCAAAAATATCAGCACCCCAGAATGCACGAATTATGTTTTTCAACGTCAAAAATTCATTGCGATTTGCTGCGGTGGTGGCGATAGCGTGTGCCCTTGGCTAGAACGTTGCAGCCAATTGAATATGTCAAGCTTCGAGAGAACAAACAAGTGCTGAAAGCAAGGTCTGGTTTTTTCTTGCAAGTGGTTGAATAGCGAGACTCACAGAGAAGAGTGAGCCTTGCCGTCGGCTTTACCTGTGAAGGGCAATGCTCAGGATCTTCTCAAAGAATGCTTACGGGACATGTTGGTGATGTGTGTTTATGATGTGAGTTTTGCTTCCCAAAGCAACATAGAAATTTCAGTGTCAAATTCTGGGCTCAATGGTTCCAAGATACCATCAAAAGACTTGCAGCAATAATTTCTGGAGTCGCGCTAAGCTGGAACGTCGACACATGCTGTATATTGTAATCTTACTTAGATTCCATGTATCAAAGTGGAAAATTTCTGGCGCTTCATGCTCATTTTCTGTAAACCCCGAGGAGGCTTCTCAAAGAACGCATTTTGCCTATCTGGTGATGTCCATTCCGAATTCAGTATGTCATTAGTAGCTTTCTAATCCCAACGTTTTCCTTGCGCTTGCGATGGTGGCCGCGGGATTTGTATTCATTTCCCAATGCCCTTCAATTCTTCAAAGCTTCTTGCGTGATTCAAGCACCCAGCGGTAAATTACAAATGGATGTCTCGAGAAATGTTTATTTTAAGTCTGCATCACGCCTTCATGGTTATGCGTCAGGAATTTCTTCATATGAAGATTATAATTTCCAAATGTGGTTACATCCCCGCCAATGTGCTCATCATGTCCTAGGATATGGAGGCCCTTATCCTGAAAATAGATCTTCGATTTGGAGGTATAGCCATATCCGGGATATGCATATCAAGGACATGGCCATATGTTGAATGTGCGCGTCATAGATATGCATACGCGGGCGCATGCAACTGATCAGATATCTAGGATATGGGAACCGCCTATATCTTAGTTCATATCTCGAATATGGAACTTTTATCGACACGAATTGGGGATAGGGGATTTTCCGTGTCATGATCGCTTTTTCTTCAGGGAATGCATTTTGTTACCATTCCGAAATTTGGCAAATTTTTTTCCAAATCTTCCTACATGACTTCCCTATTCCAGTAGGCTGATTGAGATGCTCACTATGGTGACAAGTGCCCTGGGCCTCTGGTTTCAGGCAACTGATGGAACTGATTTGGTGTCCTGCATGCTGGTACTGCAAGGATGTGAAAAAAGGCATGAGATTTGCATTCTGAGTACGGCGCGCAACTTTCAATGATATGTGCAGCACGTGCAATACCCGGCAGCATAATTTTGATAGACACAGCAAACGCATCCGTACATTAGAAGGGGACGCACGGAAGTGACCTGTGGCGGGTGCCATGCACGAGGCGACATGGCGCCGACACAAATTCACCTCAGAAAATGTCACGGGGACTATTTAGGGGGAAGGGCTGCGCTTGCTTTGCGCAGTGCCGCCTGGGGGGCGCATAACGGACAAAGCCGGCCCAGCCCAGGGAAAGAAGTGTTCCTTTGTGATTTGGTAAGTGAATGGCGTTTCCTGAGAAGAGTCCAACAAGTGCGCACCATGGCCTAGTCGTCTCCTGCGCAACTCTAATCATTGCTAGAACGGGACGGCGTTTTCCGCCTTCAACGGCGGTATATAATGGGGGATTGTATCTGCGAATGCGCGGTGAAGTGCCAATGTTGGGGAGTGCGGGATATCTTTCGTGGAAGAAAGTGGCAACCAACAGTAGAAATCGGAGGCCCAGGCATCGCTCAATACATTTGACCCTGCTGCTTGCACTAGGAAAAGAAGGCCCAACTAATGCATGCTCAAACGTGTAAAATTTTTACGGGTTTGTGTTATTTCCATTTTTTAGCATTGATGAAATGCATATATGTTGCGCAATATTCAAATCTACATGGAGTTCTGCCCACAAATCTCTGCCGCATCTCTGCTCATTTGAACAAAAGAGTGGCCGCGATTCACCATCTGTAACAACAGTCACCATGGGAGCCTTCCAGCAGTTAGTGGGGCCCTCAAGAGACCTGCGCTTTTTAGATCATCATCCAAATTTCACTCTGGCTCTCGAAAATCCCAGATGCCTGGTCCTGTGCATTGCTGTTGACTCATTGGAGTTATCTTATCTCAACGTTATTTCGCATCTTCAGCATTTTGTAGCTCAGGAAGAACTGTGCTCGCGCCCGTCGGGATGGTGGTAAGTAGTGGTGTCGCTGGCACCTGTGTTCACGCATGTCACGAAATGAGGCAGATCACGTCAGTGGGGGTCAATTGTGGGGCACATGAATCTCGGGGCAACACATATTTTTAAAATTTTCAACAACGCCGTCCGTCTTTGCCATCCCAAGGCACAGAGTCCGCATTCTTTTTCCTTTCCCAAGATCTGGGCATGTGCGAATGCACTAGTCCTATTCATCTGTCAGCGTCAATGATTGTGAGCATGGGGCATTTGTGGGCCGCCCTGGAATCTCCCAATTGCAAATGCAGTGCATTGCCACCACAGCGGATTCCTCGGAGGAAGAAACTACGTATACTACGCACACAGTGCTTTACCTGCAAATAAGCTACGCTGCGCACCTCCAGGTCAATTCCAGTTTCAAAGCTGTAAATTGTAACTGTGGGACACAATTGCGCATCCCGCTTGAATCGCTAGCATGCACCTCGTCTCAATATATGAGGATGACATCCGAATTCCAAGTTCTCAATGTCTTTTAGGATTGCGCTTATCCAACGGCTAGTAAACAGCAGCCTTGTAGCACTGGTAAAAATGTGGCAATGTGCCAATATGTTCCCTAGACAGCATTCTCTTGAAGTTTGACTGAAATCACACAATGTGATACACTCTTACGATCAATTGCACTTTTACTGTTACTATTCCTGGTAAGAATTGGTAAAGGCTGTGTACCGTAGTATGTTATACACTTGCGCATTGTAACGTAACGTTTGGACTTCATGTGAAGAAAATCAAAACGTAACGGTGCCAAGAATATGTGCAGCTGCCTAACTGCGACGTGGCCGTATCTGAACTGCTCATGGGGTCTAGCGGCCCCTGATGCATGAGCTTTTGAGGCGTGAATCCGATATATGAGGCCGAGCGGACTGATCAGAGTTGCCCTTCCAGCCGTGGCCGTGGTGCGGAGTCCCCCAAAGATAACGGTATGTAGAAGAAATGCGGAGCATCAGCATAACGCTGAAGCTTCAAAACTCGAAAGGGCTCAATACACTACGGCAATGAAATATTTGCAGCAAATCAACATCAATTATTCACGGGTCTCGA